CACAGAGTCAGCAATGAAGAAGATAGAGGATAACAATACTCTAGTTTTCATCGTCGATGTCAAGGCAAACAAGCACCAGATCAAACAGGCTGTCAAGAAGCTGTACGACATCGATGTGGCCAAGGTCAACACATTGATTAGGTGAGAACAAGTCATTGGTGAGCCTGAGGTGCTTCAAGAACCTGGAGAGGCTTTTAGCAGAAAATGTGGACACGTGAGTTTCAGCAGTTGTGGTTACTCTCAGGAGGTGTGGGATTAAGCTCCGTAGCATTTTCAGTGTTATTCGAGAAATGCAACGTGTGACTGAGCATGTCTTAGTGGAAGTGGGAAATGTTGGCAGACCAGAGGGTTGACTTCATCAGGGAGCTCTTCTGACACCCAGGAGTTTTGTGCAAATGATGTGAACGTTTTTTATCACTGAGTAAAGTGATGTTTCCAAAGGAACCACTGATGCACACTGCTATAGGAGGAACGTGGAGCAGGTGGGAGGAGTTGTGTGCCTCTGTTCTGATGCCTCCTGTTTCTCTCTAGGCCTGATGGCGAGAAGAAGGCTTATGTCCGACTGGCTCCAGATTACGATGCGCTGGATGTAGCCAACAAGGTGAGAAATCTTTGAAACTGCAGCTCCCGTTAGCTGTCTTGTACCTCCTCCAAACGGTTGTTCTTCCTGGTGTACACGTGAGGTACTTGTGCTTCAAGCACGGCAGCGCTTCTGTGGAGTGTCCTTGGGAGTTAGGTAGGATCCAGGTGTTCAGAAGCAGGACCACGTTGTGTAGCAAAACAGTTCTGCCTGGAAGGTGGTGAGGTAGATTTACTGAGAGAACTGCTGCTGTTCTTCAGCTCCTCCAGCGAGGGGCTCCACTCCACAGGGCTACAAGAGCTCCAGAGTGTTAGCAGGAAGGGTGCAGAATCTGCCCTGCAGCTTCTGAATCGAAACAGTGTTTGTCGATGCAGAGTTCTTGGCCAGCGCTGTTGGCAGCTCCTTAGAACAGGGAGAGATTATGGCAGGGGCACTGCTGCACCGCCACCCTGGGTGATGGAGGGGTTTCTGCCATGCAGGTGGCTGAAAGTGGCAGACAGCTCGGTCGTCCCGGTGGTTGAGGTAGGCAGGAGGCAGCAGGGGAATGTGGCTGTGGATCAGCACAAGGGTCACTGTGCAATACACATGTAAAGCAGTTGTGTAAGGCACTTGGGCAAGTGTGGGAGGAAGAAGCCTGTCCTTGGAGGATAGAAATCCAGGGGCGATGCAGCCCTGGCAGTAACGTCTGTGGTGGAGGCTCTGCCTTTCTGCCGCTGTAACATCTGTTCTAATGTGCTTTGCTTCTTTCCAGATTGGAATCATCTAAACTGCATCTGCTGAGGACTGTACAGACGGGATAATAAACCCTGTGACACCACCGAGGGGCTCTTGTGTTTTGTGACAGCATAGCCCATGTGAAAGAGAGCACTCAACAAACTTTTCGGGCTTCATTTTAGCAAAGTGGGGGGGTGCAGTCCTCCTTCCCTCCAGCTGTAGCCTGGTACTAGGTGGGCAGAGCTGACTGCTCCATGAGAGTCCCACGCCTGGGATCTCCTGGATCACTGACCTGTTCTCTTGTGTGTCAGTAAAGGTGACGTGACACTGCTCGGAATCTCAAATATCTCTATTTACCTGAGATGTCTGGTATCCTCCTGCATTTTGTTGCCCTGTGTCATTAGCATGTGTCTGTGATCAGTGTTCTCGGTGTCCTACATGGCTTCCTTGTGGAGCATTCCGCGGGCTGATGGGTGCCCAGGAGGTAGGTAGTAACCACAACAAATGCCTGTTTGAAGTTCAGATCTGGCAGGAGTGCAGTGCTCTGCCATTTTCCGAGTGTATCAGCTGTTTGCTTATGCTGCAAGCTTCGCGTGACGAAGCCCTCAAGCTAATGCCATCCCAGGGGCTTTGTGTGGGCCTTTTTCTGGCATGATCCCGACTCCCTGTGCTGCAGCCTGTGAATTGCAGCCGAGTTTCCCTGACGCTGTTACTGTTACATTGCCTAGAACTTCACGGGGTTCATTGCTCTCATCAGGGCTGTTTCCAGACTCGCTGCTCTTGCTGCCTTGGCAGTATTCTGCTTCCTCAAATTTGTAGATGGAGCTGGCTTTTCAGAGTGCTTGGAGAGTCACAAGGATGTGGAGCACTGGGTGAGCAGGGAATGTAGCTGGAGTACGGCCAAGCCTTTAGGGGTACTTGCTCTTAAGTAGGTAGGTAGACTTCGCTGAGAAAGATGATGAAAGCTGTGACCAAATATTGATTGGGGTAACTCAGCTCTTGAGCCAGTGGGACACCGAGTTCCTCTGAGCCTCTTGCAAGGAGTGGTGGAGTCCTGGGGCGTTGGGTGTTGGTGGTTTGCAGCCATGTGGAGGATGGTGGTGGATGGAAAGGGGCAGCTCTCCCAATTGCTGCTCTCCAGACCTCAGATTAAAGATTTGTGCTGGGTTGTGTAGCCCTTGGCTTGAGACTCACCTGGTGCTCACAGCTTTAGGTGCTGGGGATGTGCATCTGCCGGGTACACCACAAGCTGCCTGTGCTGGAAGGGCAATGTGGAGGCACTGGGGCAGGCTGTGGGGTGGCTGGGAGGACCAGGAGCTGGGATGGTGGTGTGGAGAGGCCAGCTGGCATTGCACCCTTGCCCTGTCCACGGAGGGTGGCTCTGGGTATTGCAAAGCCTGTGTGCTTGCCTTTATATGGGCAGACCTGAAAGCTGGGTTGGAAGTGGGGGCTGCCTGGAAGCACCCCCTCTTCTCCCTGAGCCCCATGGGATGCTCAGCTGGCCTGGAGGGGAGGCAGGTGATGTTTGTTCCCTGCCTGCTCTAAGGGGTGAGATACTGCCGGGAGGGAAGAGTGCTGCTTCCCCGGGCACTGGTCCCTCTCCTGATCGGCTGGTGCTGTGCAGAGCTCTGCTGGCACCCTGGGCGCAGGCCAGAACCCAGGCTCTTACCCCTCGCCCACCCAAGCCTGGTTCAGGGGCTTGAAACTCAAGAGAGCGAGGGCTGTTGGCAAGTTGTGCAGGACCAGGTGAGGCTGAACAAGAGGCCGCCAAGGCAGCCCCGCTGCTGGGAGTATGGTGGTGTGAGGACCTGGGACAGCCTCGCTCCATCCCGGCCTTGGGTCTGATGTTCTGCTGGCCTGTGGGGTTGAGGGCACCTACCCAACCTCCTGCCCTTGGTCTGGTCGCAGTCTGGGAAGAGGATGAGCAGCAGCAGGGGTTGGGTGGGTCTGGCTGAGCCCTGTGTCTCCTCCTTAGCTGTAGTCACCCCAAGAAAGATGTTGGGGGTGAGAAGGGCCCATCTTGTAGCAAAGCCCATGTCGCTGCTGGGGCGAGGAGCGAGTACGTGCTGCAGCGTGGAGGCTGGGGAGGGATTTCACATCAGCATGACTTGCAGTCTGCCCTGACCCTGTCTCAACTTCGCCCTGTGGCTGCTGCTGTCTGGCACTTTGCTTCCCTGTGTTTGCCTCTTGATCTGGGCTGGCAGCTGGCCCGACCCACAGCTGCCCCAGCCTGGCCAGTGCTGTGCTGCTGGAAGATGCTCCAGCTGGAAGCCAGGAGGGGAACCGGGGGAGAGCCGGGCTCCTTGCTTTGGGAAGCTTTGTCATGCCTGACCCTTCCATGCTGCTGTAAAAGTGGTGGGAGATGGGCTGGTCCCCCTGAGCCTGTGACCTGCTGGGGCAGAGCCGTGTCTGCTCCATGCAGGGAGACAAAGGGAAAGGTACAGCAATCGGGGAGAGGGGAAACCAAGATTTGGGCTTGATGGTGTGGGGTATTTGCAGACGGAGTCGGTGCACAGAGGACATGGTGCCCAAGCTGCAGCTGGGAAGATGCGTAGCTGTCGGGATGTGCTGAGGGTGAGGCTGTGCCCTGCCGGGACTCCCCACAGCTTGGCGCAGGGCTGCTGGGCTCCGCTTTGAGCTGGAAGGGGACAATGTGGCGGGTTGAAGCTGGCATGGGTCCCTGCTCATGCAGTGTCCCAAGTATCACGTCTCTGCTCCAGCTGCTGGGCTGTTAGCACACCCCCCCCATGCCTGCCACGGCATTGGTGTATGCTGGGGAGCTCTGTCAGGATCCCAGCTCTGTGGTGTGTTTCCCAGTGCTCTGGTGGGGGGTGATTCCCCCACTGCTTCCACTTAATCACCGGCTTATTTCAGCTGCGGTGTCTGTCTCTGCCTGAGCTGGGCTGGGGTGGGGTTGGTAGGATGGATCCTGTCCTGGAGCAGGAGCTGGGCAGGAATCCCTCTAAACCCTACTGCTTTCTGCCAGTCCAGCGTGATCCTGGAGCAGTCATGGCATTAGGATTTGCCTTCCCCATGCTCTGGTGCTCCACAGAACTGGCTGGACCGGTTCTAGCCCTGCTCCTCTGGGGCACCTGAACCCCCTTCTCTCCTCTCACTGCTCTGGGAAAGCTGCTGGAGGCAACCTGGTCCTGCTGCTGTGTGAGACCCCAGCACACTCGCAGGGGGCTGGGGCTGGAGCTGTGCTGTGCTGAACTGCTCCGGGGGGATGCGAGCATACAGCAGTCTTCCAGGAAGAGCCCGTGGCCTCACACGGCTTTCCCATGCCAGCTCCACTTCACGTGGCTGCCGGGTGAGTCATGCAGCCCAGCCAGGCTGGGTGCCGCCAGGCCGGAGACAGGCAGGTCAGGGACTGCAGCAAAGCTCGGTACCTCTCCTGGCTCCCTTCCCCTGCTCTCTGCACAGCCTGGGGTCTCCGGAAGAGCCGATGAGTGAGGAGGAGAGGGACCCATCAGTGGGAGGGAGGGGGTCTTGCTCAGGCTCAGCACGGTGCAGCTGGGCTGGTAGGACCCAGCAAGCTTGAGTGCATCTCTGGAGGGTCCCTTGAACAAAGCAAGTGGCAGAAACGTGCCCTCTCCCTCCCCAAGGACTGCCAGCCCTCCACTGGGAACAGGGCATGTCCTCTCCCATGCCTCTGTCCCCCCCATCCTCCTCCTGATGCCACTCAGAAAAGCCAGCGCAGGCGTGCTGCAGCAGCAGTGAACAGACTGATTTTAATGCACGTAACACCCATCATCGCCCTGGGAGGGACTGGTCCCTTCCCTCGCAACCCTCTCAGGCCATCAGCTGCGGAACGCAGCCACCCCTGGCCCTCCAGCTGCCCATGCGGAAGCCAACTTCCATCGGCTGTGCCCCAGCTTTGGTGGCGTCCCTGCGGCTCGGCAAAGCTGTCGGGCTGGTCCAGCTGGGAAGCACTTTAAGACAGCAGAGCGGGTGAAGGCAGGGCCCGGGGCCAGGGAGCGAGCCCTAAGGCACATCAGAGCAGGTTTGCAGAACTCGAGAGCTCCAGGAGCCGGAGCCTGGGTCGCCCTCGGCACGCACGTCTCAGTCTATCAGAAACTTCTCACCATCCACGTCTCTCCCCACAGAGCCCTTGCGCAGGGAAGGGAAAAAATCAGAGCGGAGGAGGCGGGAGAAGTACATGAGGATCATGGCGTCGAGCAGCAGGAGGTTGGCGGTGAGGAATGCACCCTGGCCCTGCACCTCCACATAGCGGAGGAAGTACCAGGTGAGGTAAGCCTGAGGTGCCAGGCGGAAGGCGAAGTACATCACCAGGTTGACGTACTTGTTGGCCTCATAGAGCGCCGGGGAAGGCACGTTGCTCATCTTCAGCAGCATGCGGATGGTGAGAAAGATGTTGCTCACCTCCACCAGCAGCAGCAGCATTGCCGCCACCAGGAAACGGCCCGTGATGATGAGCGAGACAAAGGCAGAGATGGCCTGGGGAACACACACAGAAGCAGGGTTAGCTCTCCTTCCCATGGGGGAGGTGAGTTCTTCCCCACCAGGGTCTGGGCATACTCAAAGTGGCAGCAGGCAGTGCTTCTCCCACACCCCCAGAGATCCCAGCAGCTCCCCAGGCATTTCGGCTAAGGAAAAACCAGTCTGGAGAGCCAGTTCCCCCAGGACCAAGTTACACTTCCTTGAGCTGGGACCAGCCTTCGGCTCTACCCTATCCTGGTGCGGCAGCCCGTCTGGCCCCTGGCACGCAGAGCCGATGCTGGCACGCGTCCTGCCCCATCGGGCGCCCTTGCCTTGTGTGCAGCCTACCTGGCAGCCATGGTGAGGTGGAGAGAAGGGCTCTGGCTTGCCCCGCTGTAGCTCACGGAACCTGCATGAGCCAAACCCCAGGGTGCGTGGCAGCCCCAGCCCCCCTGTGCTGTGATCCATCACCTCCCTGGGGCCGTACTCACCATGGCATGGTGCACCAGGTACTCCCAGGAGGAGCGGGACTGGTGGTTGAAGATGATGTCAAGGCTGTCGTGGATGAAGTAGCCTGTTGGATGAGGGAGAGCGTTGAGGGGGTCTGGCTTGTGCACCGTCACCCGCTGCGGTAAGGGGGAGCAGCAGGAGGGGCAAGGTGGTGGGACTGTGCTCCGGGCATCAGAAATGCCTCTGCCCCGGCTCAGCATGGGGAGATGGCTGGGCCTCAGGGACTAGCAGCCCGTGGGCTCCGTGCTCGTGATTAAGGCAGGAGGCACGGAGAGTGGCCCGGCCCTTGAGCTGGGGGCTCAGCCCGGGCTGGACAGGCAGAGCCCGGCGAGGTGGCCGTGGCCATGGCCCTGCCTGGCCCCTTACCCGAGGAGAAGCAGACCAGTAGGTGCCCTGAGACGCTGTAGCCGTCCTGGATGTCGGAGAGCAGCTCCGGAGAGTGCCAGAGGCTGGGGGGAG